TTTCCTCCATACTTCTCTTATCTCCACTATGAAATGTCTTGAGACCATTTCCATTTGTTTCCACGAGAAATAATGCAACATGACGACGACTTATTTTACAAAGGACATGAAGTAATAATTTTCCATTGGGTATACTTTTATTAAGGTGTTTACTTTAATGTATTCGTCTGGATAATGTCGTAAATTGTTATGCGATCCTTATCTTTTTTCTTTTATTCCTTTTTTTTCTGTCTTTTTTCATTTTTTAAAGCTTTTTAGCCTGTCTCCTATTAAATTAAGAAATCTCTTTTTCTTCAACTAAATAATCTGATATCTTAATAATAGTTTCGAATACACAGATAGACCGAAGTCTCACATTCAAATGGATTACATTGCGGTAAATTATATAGTAGGTTGTACATTATTTGCATTTATAATAAAATTCAAGCGATTTTATTTCAAGTATATATCGTATTATTGCCATATTAAAATTACTTAAAATTAAAATCACTATAATGTATGAACTCCGTGAAAACCTAATATTACCGAACGGAATAAAGGAATTACATTTTTGATAAAGTCACTTTATAAATGGTTTTAAATTAAAATAAATTTATCAAATTCAAAGTATATTTTAGTTACAAAAAAAAAAAAAAAAAAAAAAAAAAAAAAAAAAAAAAAAAAAAAAAAAAAAAAAAAAAAAAAAAAAAAACAAACAAACAAACAAACAAACAAAAAAAGAAGACTCGTAACGCTACGTAACTACAATTCAGCTTCCTTCTCACAAATATAATACTTTTAAAGCATATCGAATAATATAACTCGAGTAATATTTATCGCATACTTCGTAAACTACGTTCAAGTTTTATTAAAACAATGATTGCATAAAATTATGATTGAAAATTAATGAATAAATGTAATTTACCATTATTATGAAAAGAGAATACAAGAGCAATCTTGATTAAGCGTTTTTTTTTTCTTCTGTTTACTTAATCATTAATTTAAGCAGTTTATAGCGATTGAAACATTCGATGTATTACGCCACGATGCTTTTATTAATTTTGAGATGATAATTGAAGTTGAGTGATGATCTTACGTAATGTAAATCAATGCATTGATTTACGACTGTCGGAGCATTAGATTCTATATAATACGTACTACGAGATCATATTTTTCAACAAATCAATTAGTTATATAAATTTTTAATTTATTCGTTATATTCATTGTAATTAGCGAGTTTTTGTCAATTCTATATCTATAATCAATTTAATTTCGCTACACCGTGAAATCGTGACTTCTAGTCGAAAGGGCAAAGAACGTCAGAAGAAATGTTTAGAACAAAATCGTCGTCCGAAGAAAAACGCAAACGACATTAAACGTGAAGAAGGACGAAGGCCAAGAGCGACATACAGGAATGTATTCATTGATCCAGGACACTTGACGCGCACGTCCTATCATTACGGAGACCCCGTGAACCGCTGCGCGTACACATAATTGACACGTTAATGACAGTTTTCTCGTAGTCGGCTTTTGCGCCTTCGTCGCGAGGACGCTTATTAGCTTCAACCCGAAAAAGGTGGAGCGCAAGGTGATAGAGAGGGGATAAAGTTAGGCAGCGTCTCGACTGCGACGTCGAAAAGTCGTGAGTCATGGGAGATGCTCTCCTCACCTTAATTAGTGAGCGTAATGCCGCAGCGGCTGCGACGCTTCGTGAAAAACAATCAATAGGGGAAGTCGGCGCGCAGCTTCACTCGACTCGCGACGCCAACAAATTAACGATCGCTACGAGGGCCGTGGACTGACCGAAAATTGGCAGCGCGTTGCCGCCTGCCTATTTTCCTTAAGGAACAACACCTTAGAATTAATAATGTGCTGCCCCGAAGAAGCAAACTTAGTTGTTAGCGCTGGACCACTATCCTTACTTAAGTAGACCATTCGATAATTGTTAAATTGCATCAGCAGTGGGGTACATTATTAGGATAAATCGTTATTATTGCTTGCTGTATTGCAATTGAGTTGGCTTTGCCTTCCGAGAGCCATTCGCGTCTAATATGCAAACAGTAAGATTTTTCATGCGAGTGCGGCAATCAGATCGAAGACCATTAACATTGTTGGTTCTCGAAGGAATAGTTTGCCGTGTTGGACATCCGATACGACGTTAAGCAGAAGTCGTTGGGTGTTGAAGCGGCTTCCTCGACAATTGGAGATCGGTTTGACCGGCGAGTGGCGCACCGAACTTTTAAAAGCTCTCGCGGAGTCGTGGGATGAGGTGGGTTTGGGGCGCGCGAACGCGAGTGAATTTGTTCGGGGTTCCGGTGGTGGGCGCGACTTCTCGCGCAAAATATCGACTCAAGTGGACGCATCGGCTAATTAGAAGTAGGCGTGCACGTTGATTTTTGCCGACGGGGCCGTCATGCGCCGGAGCGGCAATTGATTGCGGCATCCTTCGGCCCCCGCTCGCCGCCAATAGGGGGAGGGGGGAATTTTACAGCGTCATCTCGTGGCGCCTGCGATTCGCTGGCTCGCGCCTCTCTTCGATTTTCTCCCGTCGTCCTATCTCCGCCTCCTCCGCCACGGCGCGCCAAGCGTTTTATGCAACGCGAAGCCGGGGGAGCGAGAGAGACGGGAGAGCCGGAGAAAATTCGAATTTGACGCCTCGAACGGTGCCCCCAGACGCTCCCGCCTCTCACCTTCTTCCTACGCCATAGCTTTACGGCCGATTAATGTAACGAGGGCCCCCATAAACTCGAAAATCTCCGTAAAGACGAAGAGAGAATTTTAATAGCGTGTGCAAGAGTGGGCGCGTGAATACACAGTGCCGTCTTCGGTAATTAACGGCGCGCGGTATTAGTCGGCGGGGCCCTTTGTTTGACCGGTGCGCGCCAAATAAGTTTGCCTATTTGTTTTTTCCATAACTCAGAGTAAGAGAGGCAGTGTGGGAAGAGTGAGGGGATCGAGGTAGGGATGAAGTAAGTCAGAGAGAGAGAGAGAGAGAGAGAGAGAGAGTGAGTGAGAGAGAGAGAGAGAGAGAGAGAGAGAGAGAACAAGTGACGAGGTGTTAGTTTCTTTTGACCACGATCGTAATTTCCTTTTCATTCTGCTGATTTATATATATCGAGGCTGCTGTATATCCGGTGTTATTTGCTTTTTAAGATTTCGACAGATGTGAAGTGGTATGCTACCCTGACAAGTCATCCTTAAGTGTTTCAGTTTTATATTGCCAATCCAGTAAAACATCGCCGAGTCTCGTATAAGGAAACGTATAAAATTTAGTGCACCACACACACGCGCGTATATATATATATATATATATATATATATATATTTACATACATATCGATGTGCATGTGTGGGACTAAATATAAATTCTGCCTTAAGAAATTATAAAGAGCTATGGCACGTGATTATTAAACGATAAATGTTCTAGACGTAGGAGATAGGCATAACTGTGCTAAATTTATCTGCAAATTGCGTAGATCGATCTTTCTCTCATTGGTACTATTTACCGTTGGTAATGTTAATCATCAAATAGTTTTAAGGCGATTTAATGATCAGCATAAATTTTCTAAGTAGGACGAAAAAGATAATAAATAGATCGAGGGAGGCAAATGATGAAAAATAGAGAGGATAAGGAGGGAGAGATGCTCGATATTATGTACAGTTATGTGGTATAATGCGATCCGATGGCGCGAGGAATAATAATTAAGCTTCTCTTGATTGCGATGCGGTGTCCAGGTCTCGAGGAAATCGTGCGGCTCGGCAAAACCTCCAAAATTTCTCGCTCATCGATAGCCCTTTAGCCGATCATCGAGCCGCCCTTGTGAAAAAATTCACTTGGCAAACAACGAAGGAGCTGCGGAGACTCTCTCCCGGGCGCGGCAAACAACGTCGTACAACAGCGCGCGAAACTCGCTCGCCCTCGCGACGATTCTCCTCGCCTTTGCCAAACGGCTTTTTTCGCGATCGACTTCATTCTCTCTCGCTCTCTCTCTCTCTCTCTCTCTCTCGGTCTCTCGCTCGGTCTTCCATCTTCGCAGAGTCGCGGTGCGATTAAACGGCTCGTCCCAGACGAGGCTACACACGATCGTCGCGTTTAAGCACGTAAACAAGGGCTTTGTGGCCCGCCGCGATTTCCATTTACGGATTCGACACGCGCAACGTCGGCACAACGGGACGATGAATCGCGGCCTTGCGACGATGATGACGACGATGATGCGCCGATACGCTGCGACTTTTCCCGACGAGCATCCAAGCCCCATCGATGGGCGTTATAAACTACGTCGCTTCTTTGTCCGAGTGCAATCGATTCTCTTCTTGCCCTCGCCATCTCCTAGTCGAGATTTTTCTTTCGGCTCAGCGAGCTTTCGCCACTCCGATACTCCGATTAAATACACCTAATGGCAAATGATTTTTCGATATATTCGGTGCGATTGTTTCGTTATGCTGATATGTTTAATCCGACCTTAAATGCATGTCTATCATTTGGATCTATTGAAAACGCACCTTTGAACTCATCGCGAGTGCAAAATCATGTTGATAACAATGCGACTAATAATTAATTGCTTTTTCATTTGATTTACGTCTGCTAAAGTAACGTAATAGCCAGGTGTCGAGGTGCCATTGAGAATCGACAATTATATTCGAAACAACTAAATTTTAAATCATTGCACTCTGTCTATAGCCTAGGAAATGTTAGTAACAAAAGCATTCGTTCATTTCGTACTCCCAAGCTTATGAATTGCACTCTCAGTCAATAAGGACAATGCGCGTTCGTTTATGGAACAGATTCCTCCTACTTTTTATATAAATCTTGAAGTTCCGCAATGTGCAAATAAATAAAGAAGCAAACACGAAAACAAATAGAAAAAATGAATAATGTATATAAATAGAATATGTGAATACCCACAAGTCTCTCTCTCTCTCTCTCTCTCTCTCTCTCTCTCTCTCTCTAACCTAGCGTTGACCAAGATTTTTGTTTTTCAATAATTCAGCTTTTCTATTTGAATTTTTTATATGCTCACCTTCGATTTTGATACCATGTTTTCACTTGTGTGTCCGTGAGCTGCAATTTCGCCGCCAGCTCCATCCTGTCCTGAACGCTCAGATACTTCTGCCGCTCGAAGCTCTTTTCCAGGGTCTGTAACTGGTGATCCGTGAACGCCGTTCGTGCTTTCCTCTGCTTTTTACTTTGCGATGAGCTCAAGGAATTCGACGGACCCTTCGGATCGTCTTCTTTGCCGCCTGCGCAGATAAATAAGGATTTTTAATAACATTGTCCATTGGCTGGATTTGGACTGTGATCCTGGGGATGAGGGACTCGAAGCTATTACGCCCGTATTCATTTGAAAACGAGAATTTAAAGTCATATTACGTAAAATTGATTGTTTGACAATGAAACGCTGACTTTTTCTGGCTAAGCGCGCTTATACACTTCTTAAAAATTAATTGCGTCATTCACGTTCTCAAGTTATATAAGAGAGAATTTAGAGGTTCCAAAAGCAGCATGGCATTATTTATTGCTTTATTGATTTGTTTTTTTTCGTTTTAGTTTTCGTTTTGGTTTTTTTTTTTAACAACATTTATCAGTGGTGTAAGATTTAGATTACTCAGACTTTAATAATTTAATAATAATAATAATAATCTCAAAGGTTTATCTCTTTTTTACGAATGAGCAAGCAGCTACACTTTAACAACCAAATAAAATTATTCCTTTCAACTCATTTCAAGCACATTCGCCGAGCGATTATGCCCAATAGCACTCCCACGCTTACATAGTCGAGTCGATGTGCGTGCGCAAGAGGCTGGCCGAGCATTAATTTGACATAACGACTGTGCAGAAACGTCGTGGCTGGCTATTCGAGAGATGCATAAAAAAGCGCGAATAGGAAAATGAAAACCATGTCCTTTGACTCGAAATAAGATGACTCGGACTCGGATCCAAGGATGCAAGTGGCTCGATGTCGAGACAGAGGATGGTGTCGTATTAAGCGAGGAGCCCCGCGCGCGTCCTCTCTACCCGCGTCTCCTCCTCGCCTTGCCAATCGATGTCGCGCGTTCGGCTTTTTCGTGGCAGCGTCTGCGTCGGTGACGGCGTCTGCGGCGCCCGCGCACTCGCGATTGGACGCGCAGCCTAGGGATGCGCGAATTGCCACCCCGGCGCCGCCAAGGGTGATATCACTCCCCCACGGCGACTGACGATTAAGCCCCACCGCGTAGGCGTATACGTTGCACGCGCGCTCGCACTTACTTCTTTTTCTTTTCTCTCCCATCTTCCCTTTCGTCTCGCCGAGATTCGGCTTTCGCGCCCGATAACTTCTGCGAGACGAATTATTATACACCGGCGGCTTTCTCCGGCTGATTGAATTAACACCGCTGACTCAGCGCAATACCTCTACGCGCTATATGTGCTTTATTCGATCGGATACCGTATTATCGCAATGTTAAGTAATTCCCGAATCATTCATGAAATACCTTTCATACTACGCTTTTTCATCCGCCCTTGGCTAATTGCGACCGACCGAATAAAAAGTAACAATTGCTCCATTGTCTGGCAATATACAGACTTCATAGCGCTTAGTCGCTACAGAAAATCAAGTTCGATTCTGTACAATGGATATTTTTGCGTATTTATGTTTTTGACTTTTACTAATACTTAACTAATGCTAATACGACTTGCCCAATTAGATATATGAAATGGCGCAAACATAATTATCATGCTTCCTCTCTCTGTATTGGGATTATAAGGTTTCATGTATTTTAGTATATTCGAATTCGAATTATATCTTATTTTAATGGTGCTAATGGTACTTGGCAATTGAAACGTGACCAATTTTCCCGCATAGACATACGGCCATACGCATACGCACACGCGCACGCAAGAGTTAGCAAAAAATAAGAATTCTAGTTAAATGTAATAAAACCTAATAACGTTCTTCAGGCTATTATTAGGCAATTTACGACCTAGCACTGGCTAAGAAAATTGATTTTCATTTACATACGACTTATTACGCTCGAATGTGAAAATTATTATTGTATAAAAGCTTGGAGAAATGTGCGAGTCTCGTGAGTTTTATTGAAATTTTCCTTCACACGTATAATCCAATGCAATTTTCCGACATTTTGCTTTTATTTATTGCAGGAATAAGGAAACTTTAGATATTTTTAATAATAGACTGCCAAGACGAGATTTGTCTCTCAATATACCTGATTTTAACGAACACTTGTTACTATTAAGTACACAAAATGTGCACACACACACACACACACATATATATATATATATATATATATATATATGGAAGTAGGATATGAAAAAAGTATGGTCATATGTTTATAAGCAAACGACACTTGCCTCACCGTAGTGTTGTTGCCAATAAGAGCAACATCGATTGAAACGCGAGTGGTCCAACCTCTCTGTACAGATCATACACATAGACGCAAGTGATGATATTACTTTTTCGTATCGGAAAAAGGAAGATGAGCGAGCAGATGGGCGCGCGCAAGTTCCTAATTCTAGAATGGAGTGGCTTGAAAAGAGAGGTAGAAGTAGAGAGAGAGAGAGAGAGAGAGAGAGAGTGAGAGAAGGGAAAAGAGATCAGAGAAAAGCTCCAATATATATTGAGTTAGCCTGTGCGAAAGCGTGGCTCTTAGTCTCCGTTTGATCGGCCAGATTCGCTTGAACGGTCCAGCTCGCGGCTACGACGCCATCTTTTTCATCATGGCCGTCGCCATCCCTTAGAGAAAGAATTTTCTTCTCTCCTTTCTCTCTAACTCACACGCACGCACTCACGCTCGCGCGCGCGCGCGCACACACACACACACACACTCTGTCTCTCTCTCTTGCTCTCTCTCTCTCTCTCTCGCTCTCTCTCTTTATCCCTCTCTTTCTCATTCGTTATATCTTTCTTTCTATTCTAAGAATCTTTCTGTAGAATGTTCCGCGGGTGACGAAACGTGTATAGGTACTACACTCGTTGCTATATGTGGAAATGCGAAAGAAAGGGAGGAAGAGGTTGGAAAACTAAATTTACTATGTGATACACTTAGAGAAGTCCCACGGAATTTTCTTTTTGAAACACTTCCAAGACGTTAGATCGTACTTTTTCCTCGCTTTTCCCCAAGCTTTTGCAGAAGTAACTGGAGAGAGAAATACTTGATCCCACCCTACTACTATTACTTGTTTTTCTTTCTTCCTTATACTATTACCCTCTCTCGCTCTCTCCCCCTATCTATCTATCTATCTATCTATCTATCTATCTATCTATCTATCTCTATTTCTCAAGTTCTCTTCTATGTTTCTTTTCTTTGTTTCTCCGTCGCAACTCATTTCATTTGCGTTTACGTTTGCGTTTGCTCGCACTTTTTCAGCTCTCTATCTCTAGCAACCTTACATCCGTTCAACTTTTATACATATATACGTAGACATTTACTCCACAATATTTGCCCCTTTCATTTCTTCAACTTTTATCCATCTTTTTGTCTACTTGGAAAACTGAAAGGACAAAGATTTGAGAGTTTTGCGTGGAAGACGGTGAACTTTTTACGCGAAACGCTTGAAAATGAACGGCAAGATAGTTTTTCAAGTATACTCATAGTCGACGAGGAAAGTTGAAGGAACTTAAAACATTGTCACAAAGTAAGGAGGGGTAGGTTAATTGCGGTGGTGAAGGGATGGGGGTGGGGATGGCGGTTAAGGGGTCGCGCACTAGGCCAGTGTGGTTTATTGTGTGTTTCATAACAGATGTGTTGAGGAAAGTCTACTACAACATATATCTGCAGACTATTTCATTAAGAATGCGCGAGGCGACAATTATTTAGAATACAATAACACCATCAATTTATATGTATAAATTATATTACACTGTACTATTTAACAATTTTTTAATTTCTATTTGTGCTAACAGTGCTGCTACAAATAAATCGTCAACAATAATTTTTCATCCGATATTGTCAATGATATATGCATACATTTATCACGAGGATTTAATAATTAATCAAGCAAGCCTCGTTTACTCCAAGGAAAAGGACAAGACAAGCTCGTGAATTTTCCCTAACCAATAACAAGAGTTATTAGATATCGTACTCTATCATTTTCTATTTATTTTTACATTTCATTTACATCATGGCACCGTGCCTCGCGAGAAGCACATTAAATCTCACACACATTACCGAGCAAAGCACTTGTCAAGTAATTCAAAAATATAAGATTTAACATAGTGCCCTCGTGCGCACAACTATCACTACGAACACGTGTAAATATTGGCATCCAATACACTTAAAATTCACAATGCGTGGCGGCTTTAACAATTACAAATAACGGACGGAGGACGAAGGCATTCGCTGCAAGTCAGCCCCAAGCACCACACCGTGACGCATTATGAATACCAGGAGATGAAAAAAGCTGAGCCTTCGGGGGAAGGGGTAGACGATTCATTAACCGCGACGGCAGTCCTCGCGCTAGAGGCTATTAAGGTCGCGCTCGCACATAAACCCTACGTGAAAACATATTCCGGCGCTTCCTCCGCGGCGGCTCACTATTCCTACGCCGCTACCGGGCAAAAGTTTCGCGTGCCGCTATATAATAAAGCACACGCAACCGGCCTGATTAACTGGATATTTATCGAGCAATTATTCGCCCCTCACCCCATCTCCTCCGTACCACCAACACCCCCCCCCCCCCCCCCCCCCCCCCCCCGGCCCCCCCCCCGCCCGCCCCCACGGCCCACATCCCCCATACCCATCCTAACCACTCATGCAATTAGTGACGTCGGTACGATGACCGCGGTCTTGCGAGATTAGGTTGGAAATTCTAAATTCAAATGCTCGATTTTTTGTTCTCGTCCACGTCCTTTTAATCTTTTTCTTATTCTCGATACTCGCATAATGGAGTCTCAGAGTCGAGACTTCTCAAATAGACCCTATGCCTCTTCTTTATGGAGGGCGTTAATAATGTCAGCTTGCCATGGGAATTTGAATTTGGGCAAAATGGAGATTATCCATTCACATGGGTGTTGGGTCCGTCATACTGGACAGTTTATCACACTCGCCAGTATCTGACGATTGTCGACAAAGGCTCGTTGGTGAAAGTGACGCGTAGACTCGCGCTTGCTCATTAACCAAATAATTCATTCTCGCACATTATAATTAGTTGATATTCCTGCTTAGCGATCGCGCAATAAAGTCAAGTGGGAGATATTCACGTCAATCCAGATGTAGGATACGCTTTATGGGCCTTCTGATCA